CAATTTCTTTTAAGGATGAGAACAACTTATGGGAAAACAAGGCTATGTGAAATTCAATAGGAACGTCAGCTCAACCCATATCATTGTAAGAAAATTATTCTACCAGTCCTTCATCACCTTAAACGAACTTGGGTGAATACATCCCCTAGAAATAGTATCCCACTTTCCAGTCATAAAAATGGTTAATAGTAGCATATAGAGCAAGTTGATCATTCGAATAGCTTGGAAGACAATATCCCAAAGAAGCTGACCGACTTCGCTTTAGCAAATTTGTCTTGTTGCCATGGCGACTTAGTTGGAAGTCCTCTTCCATAATAGTCCTCATAATTGCCATCTTCAGACCGTGGACTTGGTACATTCTCAGACGTTTTGCCGCCATCTTAATCGGCATTATGAGCGAGTAACTAACGAGTTGTAAGTTGATACTGAGAACGGCAAGACTTCCTGATGATGCCGATTGCGATGGCGGCAAAGAGTCTAAGAATGTACCAACTCCACGGTCTGACGCTGGGAATTGTGACAACCACTGTGGCAGAGGACTTTGGGCAAGGTTCGTCTAACTAAGGCACCCTGACAACAAGACCAAGTTGCCAAGACAAGTCGACCCACTTCTACACATCGAAAGGAGACTGCGACAATACCATATACCACACTCTATTGGTTTCGACATTTTATGGTAGTACTTTTGGATTTTCTTTATCTCTTTCCAATTCAAACTTCGTTTTTGTTGTCAGTTTTTTTAACTGAGCTAAGACCTTTATTTACAAAATAGATCCTCGTTTTCTGTGCCGCAAAATTAAGTCTCATTAAAAGTAATCTATCTTTGAGGAGAGATAATTCGCCTCTAAGAATTGCGAATCTCATCGTCAATTCCAACTATGATAACGGTGACGCTTCTGAGCGCCCAGCAACTATCCAAAATTATGGTCAAAGTGCCAGAGGACAGAGTAAAGGCCAAGACCTTCGGGGTCTTCATGGCATCAAGACTAAGTTGTGAGGTCAGCAAATTTGTATGCATCATACTACTCATCATATCTACGTTTATTCTTCCTTGTTCTCATATTGATCATACTCGGTGAAATCGGATTTACTACTGATCCGATTTTGAGTTTGCTAAGGCTTGATCAAGATTTTACCTATTCTTATTATTATATCCTTATTTATATATTATTTATCCATTTTCGAAAGCTCTTATTTTTTACAGGCTCTTGTAGAACTATAATAAACGAAATTGTTTGCTATTCTTATGATATTTTACTTATTATTTATAGTTATTATGTTTAAATACTATCGTCATATCTTGAATAAATATGGAGTAATTAATCATTGCACTTATACACAATAGTCATTTCAAATAATTGACTTTTAAACAAAATTATAGCTACATTTTATAGTCATTGTTCAGCATAAAGCAAAGATTAAAAAATAGGCGAATGGGATTTTAATGGCTATTTGTTCTATTAACCAGAACGAATAAATCATTGCTTAAAGAATGTTGAAAAAATTAGCTCATGTCCAATAAAACTACATTTTGTTTTTTTTATCTACTCATAACAACGGTACTTCGCTGTTAGAGACAGAAAGGTGTCTGACAAAAAAGGGTAGACAAGAAAATTATTATCTGTTTTAGCAGTTAGTAAGACAAAGAGGGCCTCTTTTTTGGTCGCAGCCTTCTTTTGATGTAAAAAAGTGGTCTGAGCTCCTTCTCGCAACTTGGAAGTGTTGCCATGGTAGCATGGTTGGGCACATTTTGTCCTCTATAGGAGAGGACTTCTGACATGTTGCACTACAACTACAACTGAGTCGCAAAAATATCGTCAGGCTACTTTTTATCTAGTATACTTGAAAACAATATAATTACTACAAATAGCTTACTATTATCTTTTGTTTAATGTATAAAGACATATTTAGGGTATTCTAGAACCAAGATTGATCGCAATTTTTGCAATTAAATTGAGTTTTTACTCAAGAAGTTTATTTTAAGCATAAAACTGACAAAAACATTTTAGGAGATTTAAACTAATGTATTTAAAAAGTAAGACCGATTAGTTATTTTAATGAATTTAAATCAGGCAAAAAACTTAATTACCATTTATTTATGGTCAACTGTATGGAAGTTAATGTATATTCAGAATGAATAGTGTCGTCACGCTAGGCTGTCCATTTGCAACCTCTGTAAATAGTTGAGAAATGTTTTTAGCTTGGGATACTGATTGTCTTAAATATTGTATCATCTTCCCATTGGCGTGGATATCTTACGTATCCCAAACAGATATTGAACCAGATTAGCAACTCACTTCTTGTCCATTCATGAGGAAGTTAGGCGGACATCGACAGTTGCCATTCTGCAGAGTGCCTCGGTTCATCCCGCCTCCAAGTCCACTCGTAGAATGGCACAATGTGTGTTGCTGGGCCGAAAACCGGAATTGACCACCAGCTTCCAGACCTGCTGCACCCGCGGAAACTCCTACATTTCCCGCTCCACCTGTTGTCATTGCCGACGCTTGGCACGGCAGCTGGTCCTGTTGGTATGTCTGCTGTTGGCCAACATGTTGATGATGATGATGGGGAAAATGGTGTGGCAATGCTGCTGTGTGAAAGTGATCCGGATGGTTGGACATGGCTGCTCCAAAAGGGCTGATACCAAAACCGGTGCAGGCGCTAACTACACCGGAGCTAGCATTCATACCAGCTGTACCAGATCCGGCAGCGTTTGGATTATTCTGGTGTTGGCCACTATTTCGTGAAGATGCTATATTCTGTGCGACAAGGTGATGGTAGAAAAATGCCAATTATGCATACCTTCTAGTTAAAATATTTGATTCAACAACCATAATTAGCATGACCTGAATGGAAATAAGTGGTAACTAGGGCACGGTCAGATTACAGAAGGAAACGCCAGCTCAACTCATATCATTCTGGGAAAATTCTACGAGTTCTTCATCATCTTAAACGAAATTGGGTGAATACATCTCATACTACTGATTTACTGGTAGTCACGAAAACAATACTTAATTGAAAAATTAATTAAATTCTTAATATGAGATGTATTCATCCAATTTCGTGTAAGGATGAGAACAACTTATGGGAAAGCAAGGCTATATGAAATTAAATGGAAACGTCAGCTCAACTCATATGATTGTCTAAAAATTCTTCTTCTAGCAGTCCTTCATCACCTCAAACGAAATTGTGTGAATACATCTGATACTACTGATTTACTGGTAGTCACAAAAACATAACTTAATTCAAAAAATTAAATAAATTCTCAATATGAGATGTATTCATCCAATTTCGTTTAAGGATGACAGACGCGGTAATATGCACAATCTGTTTGGGTGCAAACATACGATATCAGGTCGGCCTTCAAGAATACAAAAATATGTTAAACCCTATTTCCTTTAAACTCTACAATCGCACCTCAAAAATGTGATATTGAATAGGTTTACATTTCCTTAAAATTCAATTCTGTGGAGTTGACATCATGAAAACTTTGGTTCAAGCTCCGCTAAGGTTGAAAATGCATTTCATCCCAGATTGTATGAGAATATGTTCAGGGGAGCAAAGTTATGGGGCCAGCTCAAATGATTGTAGGAAATTTCAACCATCAGTCCTCCATGTTGTTAAATGAAATAAATTATATTACCCAAATGTTTTCCCAGTTGGCTAATCGTTCACAAATCTGATAATCGTGAAACATAGCCACCAACTTAAAGCCAATCCCAAATCTTGACATGACTATTCCTCAACCCCACGCAATTAACCGTATTTTATGATAATAAGTAAAAAGGGCTAAAACGAATAAATAACAGCAATAATAAATATTAATATAATATTATATATATATA